CGCTGTTTTCGTCGCCTGGACGACCTCTTTCGTCAGCGCTTCGGCCCGTCGCCAGACCTCCCGGACTGGCACAGTTTGCTTAGTCGTAAGATTCAGATCTTTGATATGGACATGGATGCCATTGTTTCTGCTCTGCATGTGATGTATGCTGATGACTCTAGTGTGCTTCCAGCTTATTACTCACTGTTGCCTAGTGTAGGTGTGCCTAGAGTAGCCTCCCCTGCTGCGTCAGGCGTAGGATCCCCTGCTTTGTGTAGTCTTGGTGCTTCCGCCGTCGTTCCGTCGCCAGCCACCTCTGCTTCGCTTTCCTTCACCTTGGACTCTGGCGCTTCTCGGTGTTTCTTCCGCGACTCCACCACCCTGACGCCGCTTCCTGTTCCTGCTGCTGTTTCTCTTGCTGACCCCTCCGGCTGTCCGGTAGTCGCCCGCAGTTCCACCACCCTTCCCTGCCCGGCGGTTCCTTCGGGCTCTCTTATAGGTCTGCATATCCCCTCGTTCTCCAGGAACCTAGTTGGTGTCGGCTGCCTCCAGGACCTTGGCGTCACCACTACGTTCCTTGGTCACGAGCGGTATGCTGTCTGTACCGAGGCCGCCACCGGTGCCCCCCTGTCCACGTTCCCCCGGGACCCGGTGTCCGGCCTGTTCACTCTGGACACCGTGACCCCCCCGGCTGGGGCGCTCCCTCAGGTGGCTGCGTCTACTCAGGTTGCTGCTGCCTGCTCCTGTCGGTCCCTCACTCACCCGACGCTCCTCTGGCACCACCGCCTAGGTCACCCTGCGCTCCCGCGTCTGCGTCACATGTCCCAGCACGGTCTTGTCCTTGGTCTCCCAGGTTCTCTCCCCGCGTTTCCCTCCTCTCCAGCCCCCCCTTGCACGCCTTGTGTCGAGGGTCGGCTTCGCCGTGCCCCTCACTCCTCCTCGTTTCCCCCTACCTCCGCGCCGCTGCAGACCCTGCACATGGACGTCTGGGGCCCCGCCCCTGTCCCTGGGCCGCGTCGAGAGCGCTACTTCCTTGTGCTCGTCAACGACTTCACTCGTTACACCACAGTCTTTCCCCTGGAGCGCAAGGCCGACGTGCCTGGCGCTCTCATCCCCTGGCTTGTCTCTGCGCGTGTCCACCGCGGTCTACCTGTCCTGCATCTTCACTCAGACCGTGGTGGCGAGTTTGCCTCAGGTGTCCTTGGCCGCTTCTGTCGTGCGGAGGGCATCACCCAGACGTTCACCCTACCGGACTCCCCACAGCAGAATGGGGTCGCTGAGCGACGCATCGGTTTGGTCATGGAGGTGGCTCGCACCTCCATGATCCATGCCGGTGCACCCCATTTTCTGTGGCCGTTCGCTGTGCGCTACGCTTCTCACCAGCTCAACTTGTGGCCGCACCCTCAGCAGTCGCAGGTTTCGCCGACCCGTCTTTGGACTGGGTCTCCTTGTGACGCGTCTGCGTTCCACGTCTGGGGCTGCCTTGCTCACGTCCGTGCCTCCGGCACGGACAAGCTCACTGCCCGCACCCTTCCCTGCGTCTTCCTCGGTTTTCCCCTTGACGCGTCCGACTGGCACTTTTACCACCCGCCGTCTCACCGCTTCTTTTACTCTCGTGACGTCACCTTTGCCGAGTCCGTCTCCTACTACCGTCGCTTCCCCCACCGTGGTCCCCCGGTTACCCCCCCCCTGTTCCTGGTCACTCCTTCCCCGGTAGTCCCTGCCCCTCCTCCTCCTCCTCCCCGCCCCGCCCCCTCTGGTGTGTCCCACGTCACCCCCCTTCCGTCGGTGGACCCGGCTGGGGAGTCTTCTGACTCTGGTGGCCCTCCTGTGCAGTCCTCGCCGGCCGCCCCTCCCCTGGCGTCCCCTTCCCAGTCCCCTCCTCCACCGCCTCTGCCGCCGCTGCAGCCGTCGTTGTCGCTGCCGCCGCCGCCGCCGTCGCAGCACCCGTTCGCTTACTCTGGGGGTGCTTGTCCCGGTCGCCCTGGGGGTGGTCCCTCTGGGGGTGCGGGTGTGGAGAGTGCTGGTGGTAGCCGAGGAGCAGCTTGCGGTCCAGGTGTCGCCGTTGTGCCGCCGCAGCAGCAGTCCTCGCCGGTGTCCGCCCTTCGCCTGCTCGGCCTTCCGTCCCCCGACCCTGCGTCGGTTCCTCCCCCACCGTCTCCTCCTCTTCCTGTCTACGGCCCTGTTTTTCCTCCGCCGGACTCGTCCCCAGCTCGTCTCCCCCCTCGTTCCCTTCCTGTGTCCCCTCCCCTGTCTCCTGACCCGACTCCTCCGTCGCACGTCTGGTCTCACCGCCCCTCCCGTGCTCGTCCTGCCTCGCCTGTCTTGCGCTCCCACCCTATATTGCTTCGTTCCCACGCGTCTCGCCCTCCCCTTCTGCCGTCGCCTCCTCCGTCCTCCCTTGTTGTTGCACCCCCCCTGCTGTTTGACTACCTTCGTGCCGCTCGTCCTCTTGTTCCTCGGGTCCTTGCCTCTCTCGTTACCGACCCGTCTGTTCCGGTCCCGTGCCTTGACACTCTTGTCGCTGCTGTCGCTGACTTCGCCTCTACCCGCTGCCTTGACTACGCCACCGCTCTGGTCTCTGACCCTGCCTGTCCTCCGTCTATCGGGGGTGCTTCTGCCCTTGGCAGTGACGTCCTGGAGGACCGCCAGTTCGAGCTTGCTTTCCTCTCCGAGGCTGCTCCCCATCTCTGTTCCATGCTGCTAGTCCCTGAGGGTGACCCAGACGCTTTCGACATCCCGACCCCTCGCACTTACGCTGAGGCGACCTCGGGACCCTGCGCCTCACAGTGGATAGCTGCCATGGAGCAGGAGATGGCATCTTGGAGATCCACCGGCACCTTCGTCGACGCAGTTCCCCCACCCGGGGTGAACGTAGTCGATGGCCGCTGGCTCTTCAAGGTGAAGCGCCCTCCTGGAGAGCCGCCGGTCTTCAAGGCGCGCTATGTGGCTAGAGGCTTCAGTCAGCGCGAGGGGGTGGACTTCTTCCAGACCTTCGCTCCGACCCCAAAGATGACTACTCTTCGGGTTCTGTTACACCTAGCGGCTCAGCGTGACTACGAGCTTCACTCCCTCGACTTCTCCACTGCCTTCCTTCAGGGCAGCCTACACGAGCAGGTCTACCTGCGTCGCCCTCCGGGCTTTACTGGCACCTTCCCTCCTGGTACCCAGTGGCTCGTGCGGCGCCCCGTCTACGGCCTGCGCCAGGCTCCTCGTGAGTGGCACGACACTCTTCGTGCTACCCTTGCTGACCTGCAGTTCTTTCCGTCTTCCGCAGACCCTTCACTCTTCGTTCGTGCTGGCCAGACTCCGTTCTACATCCTTGTTTACGTCGACGACCTGGTCTTTGCTACAGCAGACAAGGACGCACTGGCCTCCGTGAAGGCAGAGCTTCTGAAGAGACACACGTGCACTGACCTTGGAGAACTGCGCCGTTACCTTGGCTTGCAGATCTCCAGGGACAGAGCTGCGCGCACCATTACCCTAACTCAGTCACACTTGGTGCGCCAGGTCCTTCAGAGGTTCAGCCTTCAGTTCTCATCTGCACAGCCCACCCCTCTGCCTGTAGACCACAGACTCTCCGCTCCAGTGTCTGAGGAGTTGGTAGGGCCCAGCGGCCCCTACGCAGAGCTGGTGGGTTGCCTCATGTACCTGATGACTTGCACTCGCCCAGATCTCGCATACCCTCTCAGCATCCTGGCTCGCTTTGTGGCCACAGGCAGACACCGACCGCAGCACTGGTCTGCCGCTAAGAGGGTTCTGCGTTATCTTGCTAGTACATCGGGCATGGGGTTAGTGCTAGGAGGACGCAGGCCAGTGGTCCTTACTGGACACACAGACGCTTCGTGGGCAGACAGCGCTGAGACGCTCAAGTCTACCCAGGGCTACTGCTTCAGCCTTGGCTCAGCTGCCGTCTCGTGGAGAGTTACCCGCTCCTCGTCTGTAGCGCAGTCCAGCTGTGAGGCTGAGATCTACGCTGGTGCCATGGCGGCACAGGAGCTCCGCTGGCTGACCTTCTTGCTCACTGACTTAGGTGAGCGGCCTAGCTCTGCCCCGGTCCTGTTCGCTGACAACAGGGCCATGATCCTCCTGTGTCAGGAGCCTCGACTCGAGGGCAGAGCGAAGCACATTCAGCTGCGGTACTTCCTCCTGCGTGAGCTACAGCAGCGACGTCAGGCTCCCGTAGTACACTTGGCCTCAGGTGCCAACACGGCTGATATCTTTACGAAGGCGCTTGCGCCTAAAGATCATCAGCGGCACTGTGTACAGCTTGGTCTAGTTCCTGTAGCCTCTCACTTGCTAGGACCTTGACTTTGTACTGTCCTTTATACGTATACTCAGACTGGACTTGTGTCCTCTCGCAGTGGCTGGACTAGTAGTGCCGCCCTGCCCTTGTTCTTGCCTTGTTTGTACTCCTTCTGACTGGTCTCTTAGACCCTTGTCTCAGAGGTTGGACTAGTAGTGCCGCCCTGAGCTGTTTGTTTAGGGCATTCCCCTATGCAGTCTAGGGGGTGTGTCAAACATGTGTATTTGTCATGTTTGTATAGACTGTATAGGGTCGCCTCTTAGAGAGTACAACACTTAGGTATATCTTTGTGTACTCTCACTCTATCTATCATTCAATTTTCAATTCTGATAATATATAGCACCCGTCTTTTTTGCCTGCAAATATTTGAACACCCCCCCGAAACTTTCAACATCACTTTTGAGTTCGAGTAGCATAGACGAGCGATACCCTCTTTTTCGACCACTCCTCCTGCTGTGCCATCACCTGAGCGTGAGAGCTAGTGGGAAACTTATCGAGGAACCTACCGTATACAGCGCGGTTCAAGAGGTGTGACACAGAAAAATTCGAGACCCATTTTGACTGCCCGAACAAGTGGGTCCCTTGAATCCTCGTAACTCAATGTTCGCTACTTGACTTTTGGGTCGCACTCGCCTTCCCGCCAAGAAAATCGTGCCATGCCTCCTACGGATTGGCTGTTTGGTGTTTCACCACTTCCGTACGCGATGTCGAGGGGAAAAACCAAATACAGCAGAGTACGACAGTGCATTTTGTTTAGGAAAAACAATATCACATACGCATGATCCACAACACCCAGGCGTTATACAAAATTAGCCACTAATTACACCCCCCTCAAAATTTAGAGGCATTTTGGTTACCACCCAAGGGTGCTTTATACGGGGGAATACGGTAGTCTGATTCGAGGCTGTAGGAGCACGCTGTGAGTGATGGAACCACTGCGAGGAAGAAAAGGCACTCTGTAGCGGCCTGTGTGAGGAGGAAGGAACCCATCCTGCAAGCGGTGCTCCGTGCTGCCCGGTGCTTAGGCTGGCGTCTCCTCCCCCATCACCAGCTGCACACACACCAGAAAAGAAAAGAAGTGGGAGGCAGGAGACATTGCAGAGCATGAAAGAGAGTACTTTGCATGGTGGTGTGGTTCAGCACGGCTCACCTTAAGCATGTCAGTCAGGAAGTTGGGCGCTGCTGCTGGCCGCGGCACTCCAAAGAGGCGGAAGGCAATGTCGTCCATCAGCTGCAGGAGGGTTGAATGAAAGGCAGGAGGTGGGGGAGTTTCGGGAGGGGGTGAAGTGTATGGGGGGAAAGAAGATGGGAAGGTGGGGTAGGGGGGTGTGTGTTGTGTTGAGCGTTAATGAGACAGACAGTGTGAGTGAACACACAGCTGGCACAGAAGAGAGAGCGAGACAAGAGATGAAGCGGCGTGGGGAAATGGGGAGCAGGGAATGAAGGGCAGTGATAGGAGTGTAGTTTTGAGGCGCCTCAAAACTGGGGAAATGGGGAGCAGGAAATGAAGGGCAGTGCGGCAGAGGCAGGGGAAGTTGGCGTACGGGAGGGAAGGTGGGGTCTCGCTGGATGGACGGCTCGTAGCTCCTGCGCAGGTGGGCCAAGAGGGATGGCGCCCTGCGATCAGCTCTGCACGGTGAGATGCGAGGTGAGGGGATGAAGGAGGCGTGAAAAAGGGCCGAGAATGCGCGGTTTAAGAGGACCGAGAAAGAGATGACGCAAGGAGGAGACGTGAAGGGGAGGAGCTTGCCATGGACGTGACAGGGATGTGTGAGGGCGAGGGAGGGCGAGGGAGGGCAAGGGAGGGCGAGGGAGGGCGAGGGCGACAGGATTGAGGAGGTCAGGATCTTATGCGGTGGAGAGGAGGGGCTCACGCGGTGAGGAGGGGCTCACGCGGTGAGGAGGAGGTCGATGAAGCACAGGAGGGGAGAGGCCTGCCATCTGGTCGACGCGGTGGTCGTGGCATCAGCAGCACCTAGCTCAGCAGCAGTGCTAGCAGCACTGCCACCACCACCAGTCGCAGCACCGGTGGTCACATCAGCATCAGCAGCAGCAGCAGCAGCAGCAGCAGCAGCAGCAGCATCAGCAGCAGCAGCAGGAGCATGGTGAGCCCATATGCTCGCCTGCTGCTTCTTGAGCGCCTCTGCAAGCTGCTTGGCCTGCTGCAATCGCCCCGCTGCCAGGCATCTGTGGGGGGAGAGCGGCGCAGGGAGGGAGAGAGGCAGGGAGGCAGGGCGAGAGGTAGGGGGAGATAGAGGTAGGGAGGGAGGGAGAAAGGTAGGGAAGGAAAAGGTAGGGAGGGCGAGAGGTAGGGAGGGAAATAGGTAGGGAAGGAGAGGGGTAGAAAGGGAAAGAGGCAGGGGGGAAGAGGGGAGGATAGGATGGAAGGTCGTGTCTGACAGGGCAACCACTTGATCGTGGAGCGCTGGCACATCCCTCAATAAACCAGCCAATCCTGAACTGTGAATGGCTGACGTGGTGCCTTGGAGAATGCAGTCAAGCAGAAGGAACGCCATGGGTCCGCGTGCTTGGTGCAAGGAGAAGCGCGATTCAGCGAATACAAACAGCTACACGGGCGATTGGGTACAACAGCCATGATAGCAAGGGGCGGTACTCAACTGGAGCACAGCCCGGGCGATGACTAGATCCCTCTCGCTGCCATAGCACTGTGGAGAACGGAGGGAGGGAGGGAGGGAGCAAGGGAGGACGCGGTGAGGGCATAGAGGAAGGATGGGAGAACTTGAGCGAGAGACGAAGGAAGGAAGAATGGATAGGAAGCCCTCAATGCTCACGTGTTGTGCAACCACCCTCGCTCACCAATCAACACATGCAATGTGGAATAAACTTATGGCATGGCATAACCGCACTACCTGGTGCGCATAGGCTGCAATGGCGAGGGCGAAGGGGGTGGGGTCGTCGGAGTACACAAAGTGGAAGAAAGCCATGGCGTAGTCCTGGATTGGGGGGGTGATGATGGGGGGGTGATGATGGGGGATGATGATGGGGGGGTGACGATGGGGGGGTGACGATGGGGGTGGGGGTGATAAGAAGATGGGGTGATCGCAGTGAACGCGGTGGGATTGTCCGGCATGTGATGCCAAGGGTGTTGATGCGAATGACTGAGCTGCTGGCTGGCGACCATTAGTTCAGCTGCTGGCTGGCGACCATTAGTTCAGCTGCTGGCTGGCGACCATTAGTTCAGCTGCTGGCTCTCAGGAGAAGCCATGGCAGATGGCAGGTGGAAGATGGCCGTATGTGCAGGCATGGCATGCGAGTCACGATGGCAGGACACCTAAGTATGTGGTCATCTCTTGCGCACAACTATCAAGCCAAATCATGACCTTCGGCAGCGATGCGGCAGTTTGCTTGGCGCATGCAGGATGTACGAACGCATGTCGAGAGATGGGCAGAGTGGAGAAAAGGAGAAATCACAGACCCTTTTTTGAGGAGGCAGCTGCGAGGAGAGGTACTGCGCCAGCATCAGGTGGATGGCTGGCGCGCCCAGGGAGGCGAGCGAGGAGGAGGAGGAGGGGGAGGGCGAGGAGGGCTTTAAGTGGGCCTGGGGGCTGGAGGGCGCTGAGAGCATCTCGGGGAACTTGGCGGACCACCTGGCGAGGGGGAGAGGGGCGGACGCGAGGAGAAAGGGGGGGGGAGACGAAGGAGGGAGAGGGAGGGCGAGGGTGGGAGGGAGGGAGCGAGATGGAGGAAATGGGAGACGGAAAGGGAGGGGGGGGAGAGGGAGCGGGAAAGGGAGAGGGAGAGGGGAAGGGAGAGGGACAGGGGGAGGGAGAGGGAGAGGAGTGAGAAACCAGCACTTACCAGCCAGAGTACATGTTCCAGTGCAGCTCGCACGGAGCTGCCATTAACCCTGAGCCAAGCAGCCTCCGCAGATTCACACAGCAAATCAAACCAAAAGCCGCGAGGCGGACGCATAGGTGTTTACTCACCACTTACAGCTCAAACCACTTACTTAAGAGCATCTCTTAAGAATCGCTTGCAGCCATCCATCCTGAGCCTGGCAGCCTCCTCGGATTCTCCCGGGAGCAAACCCAACAGGTCGAGGCAGACACCAGCACATACTTAAGCTGAATCACTTACTTAAGTGCAGCTCTCAGGAATCGCTTGCAGCCGTCCACTCTGAGTCTGGCAGCCTCCTCGGATTCACCAGAGAGCAAACCGGACGGGGCGAGTGAGCGAGGGAAACTGCTGTAGACGGCAGTGACTCGCGCTGGCAAGGGGAAGGGCGGAGGGAAGAATGGGGAGGTAGACGTGCGAAGGGAACGACAAAAGGGGTGGTTCGGGAAGCATACCGGACGGGGCGAGCGAGCGAGGGAAGAAGGATAGTCCGAGGGTGGGGGGGAAGGGGGACTGGTGGATGAGCGCACGTGCGAAGATGCTGTGAACTGCCTGCCGGTATGCGGGCTTGTGTGAAGCGTGACGAGGGGCGGTGCGGCGAGTGATGAGCATGAGTCCACCCGTAGCACTCACCCAGGGAGTCCTCCCAGCACGGCGTCTCAGTGGCCGTGAGCATGTCCGCCAGCAGCAAGGCCAGCTCCACGCCACTGGTGAGCTGCCCGTGTTGCAGCTGCACGCACGCCCCGCCCTCCAGCAGCGCCATGGCGTCGTCGTACTTGAACTGAGAGGAGTACCTGGGGCGGGCAAGAGGGGGGTCGGTGTGGAAAAGGGAGAGACACAGAGCAAGGGGTGCATGAGAGAAGGCACGAGCATCAGCTATTCCTGCCGCTGCGTGCACGCCCCCCCCTCTAGCAGCACCATGGCGTCGTTGCACTTGAAGTGAGACGAGCCGCTGGGGCGAGAGGGGCAGGCAGACGGACACATTTCACATTCATCACACTCTGCCACTGCGTGCACACGCGTGCCTGCAGGCTGCAGCAGCGCCATGGCGCCGCCATGTTTGAGGTGAGACGAGCACCTGCACGGGGAGGGAGACGAGCACCTGCACGGGGAGGGGGAGCAACATCGAGAGGAAGCGGAGGCGAGAGGTGCTGCAGCTGTGCATGCCTTTAGCAGCGCTATGGCATCGCCGTAGTGCCTTCAGCAGCGCCATGGCATCGCCGTACAGCCTTTAGCAGTGCCATGGCATCGCTGTACTGCCTTTAGCAGCGCCATGGCATCGCCGCACTGCCATTAGCAGCGCTATGGCATCGCCGTACTGCCTTTAGTAGCGCTATGGCATCGCCGTACTGCCTTTAGCAGCGCCATGGCATCACCGTACTGCCTTTAGCAGCGCCATGGCATCGCCGTACTGCCTTTAGCAGCGCTCTGGAATCGCCGTACTGCCATTAGCAGCGCTATGGCATCGCCGCACTGCCTTTAGCAGCGCCATGGCATCGCCGTACTGCCTTTAGCAGCGCCATGGCATCGCCGTACTGCCTTTAGCAGCGCCATGGCATCGTCGTACTGCCTTTAGCAGCGCTCTGGCATCGCTGTACTGCCATTAGCAGCGCTATGGCATTGGCGTACTGCCTTTAGTAGCGCTATGGCATCGCCGTACTGCCTTTAGCAGCGCCATGGCATCGCCGTACTGCCTTTAGCAGCGCCATGGCATCGCCGTACTGCCTTTAGCAGCGCTCTGGAATCGCCGTACTGCCATTAGCAGCGCTATGGCATCGCCGCACTGCCTTTAGCAGCACCATGGCATCGCCGTACTGCCTTTAGCAGCGCCATGGCATCGCCGTACTGCCTTTAGCAGCGCCATGGCATCGCCGTACTGCCTTTAGTAGCGCTATGGCGTCGCCGTACTGCATTTAGCAGCGCTATGGCATCGCCGCACTGCCATTAGCAGCGCCATGGCATCGCCACACTGCCTTTAGCAGCGCCGTGGCATTGCCATACTGCCTTTAGCAGCGCTATGGCATCGCCGTACTGCCTTTAGCAGCGCTATGGCATCGCCGCACTGCCTTTAGCAGCGCCATGGCATCGCCGTACTGCCTTTAGCGCCATGGCATTGCCGTACTGCCTTTAGTAGCGCTATGGCATTGCCGTACTGCATTTAGCAGCGCTATGGCATCGCCGCACTGCCTTTAGCAGCGCCATGGCATCGCCACACTGCCTTTAGCAGCGCCGTGGCATTGCCATACTGCCTTTAGCAGCGCTATGGCATCGCCGTACTGCCTTTAGCAGCGCTATGGCATCGCCGCACTGCCTTTAGCAGCGCCATGGCATCGCCGTACTGCCTTTAGCAGCGCCATGGCATTGCCGTACTGCCTTTAGCAGCGCTACGGCATCGCCGTACTGCCTTTGTCACACCTGAGCTCACCTGGAGGCGAGGCTCTTGTAGAGCTGCTGTGCCTCGTAGAACTCCCCATCCTTCACTCTCTGCGCCAACCGCTCCTGCACCTGCTCTCATGCACATATAAATGAACATTGCCCATCAACATGCCCATGCACATGGCATCAACATGCCCAGTCACCAGTCACATGCATACATACACACGCACCTCCAATAATAGAAAAAGTGGCAGAGAAAGGGCACATGCCTAAGGCGTGCAGACAGAGTGGCAGATGGAGGGAGGGGCAGCTGCCATGCCGTATGGGACACGCCCAGCTCCCGTGCCGTGGAAACGCGGAATAGCAAAGGGGAAGGCAGGGAGGGGGGGGAGTGAAAAGCAATGGAGCGATGGGGCACAGTGAACGATGGGGCAGAGTGAACGATGGGGCAGAGTGAACGATGGGGCAGAGTGAACGATGGGGCAGAGTGAACGATGGGGCAGAGTGAACGATGGGGCAGAGTGAACGATGGGGCAGAGTGAACGATGGGGCAGAGTGAACGATGGGGCAGAGTGAACGATGGGGCAGAGTGAAGGATGGGGCAGAGTGAAGGATGGGGCAGAGTGAAGGATGGGGCAGAGTGAACGATGGGGCAGAGTGAACGATGGGGCAGAGTGAACGATGGGGCAGAGTGAACGATGGGGCAGAGTGAACGATGGGGCAGAGTGAAGGATGGGGCGGAGTGAAGGGTGGGGCAGAGTGAACGATGGGAGCGGAAAGCAGGGAGAGCGAGCAGGGTGACTCGCCGCCAACAACCCCACGCCCATGACTCGCCTTGGCAGTGCGGTCGCTCTCGCCCCCCATGCCTGCCCGCTGCCCGCTGCCAGGTGCCCGCTACAACTGCCAGGTGCCCGCTACAACTGCCAGGTGCTGAGGGGGACGAGGGGGATGAGGGGGATGAGGGGGATGAGGGGGATGAGGGGGATGAGGGGGATGAGGGGGATGAGGGGGATGAGGGGGATGAGGGGGATGAGGGGGATGAGGGGGATGAGGGGGATGAGGGGGATGAGGGGGATGAGGGGGATGGGAAGGCGTGCGGAGGGCGGTAGGGGGACAGGGGGGGAGAGGGGGAGGGGAAAGGGTGGGGGGAAAGAGAAAGCACGAGGAGGAGAGTGGAAAGCACGAGGAGGAGAGTGGAAAGCACGAGGAGGAGAGTGGAAAGCACGAGGAGGAGAGTGGAAAGCACGAGGAGGAGAGTGGAAAGCACGAGGAGGAGAGTGGAAGGGAGCGGAGCAGTGCGCGTGCTTGGGGAGACTGTTTCGTTGCCCCGCGCTCGAGCCATCCGCTGCTGCTATCCACGTCTCCCCCCTTCTCCCTCATCCCCCTCATCCCCCCCACCTCCTCCTCGCCCAGCGCGCCAACTCACGGCGTTCGCCAGCAGATTCGCCACGTTCTGCGCCCATCGCCTCGCTTCCTTTCACGTGCAATCGCGATTTGCCAAATCAGCCCGCCCGCCTCTTTCACCGCCTCTCCCCTGCGCGTCCTCTCCGCGCTCACTCCCTCGCCTCTCCGTGCTCACCCCCTCGCCTCTCCGCGCTCACTCCCTCGCCTCTCCGCGCTCACTCCCTCGCCGCGCGTCCTCACCTGCCGCGGCGCCTCCTCTCGCACCCTCACGCCGCGCGCCACCTCTGCCTCACCCCTCCACGCCGCGTCAGACGCCAAGGCGACGCCGAGTCCAGTTATCGCCGCTTGAGACAGTACCCAGCGTGCTCAACCTTCCGTTGACTATATCGAGAGCTATTAATACGGTCGATCGGCATGTATGGATGTCGGTAGGGCAGTATAATGAATCCTCATCGACAGGGCGAGAGGCGCACGGTGCAAAATTCAGGTCGCGAAACATGGCAGAACATTCCCGTTTCTTCTCTTCGGACGATTTCTTCGTTAAGAATTTCTCCCTTTCCCTCATGGACGATACTTGCCAAAAAACACAATACATTTAGATGCCTTTTGAAACAATCAACAGATATTTGACAGCTGGCTTTTACTAAACACAGTCACTCCCGCACATAAATCGTCCAAAATGTGGAGTGTAGCATTTCATAACGACGGGTACTGGTACGAGTTTGAAATCGACCACAGCTACATGCGCCCCCTGTTTCCAGCCCAGCGTTGGTCGGTGGTCATCAGGAGGTGCATCGCCTCTCATTTTCAGACCCCATTCAAAATTTCACTTGGTCTCTCCAGTTTCAGGTCACCGCGACACCGGTCTTCGTTGTGGCTGTTTCCGGTGCAGCGCTGCGCCATCTGTCTAAGAGATCGATCGTCGACCCCCCCGCTCGTCGCACCTCGTAGTCTGGCGACCATGTCGGAAGCAGCAGCAGCAGCACGAGCCGCAGGAGAGCGGAATGCGGCCGCAGCGCCGACTCCTGCGGGAGAGACACCCCCCGCCTCGGCTTCCCTCGGGCCGGCCGAGCAGGCGGCGACGGAGGCGTTACTGGACTCGGAGCGCCGAGATCCGGTAGAAGCAGACTCGCTAGAAGCAGCGGCGAAGGCGAGCGATTCAGGAATCCGGCATCCCATTTTCCCGTGCGGGGGGCTCAAGTCCGCCGCGCACTCCATCCCCGAGGCAGACATCCCCGCTCTTAGCGGCATGGGCACCACGTTCGGGGCCTTCGCAGTCGGTGCGATTCCTCAGGACGGGGCCTTTCCCCCAACCCTCCCCCATGTTCGGGTGGACTACCCGCCGGGCCACCTGGTTCGGACGACGAGCCAAGACAGCAGCGTGGCGGCCACTCTCGGCAGCCCGACAGGCAGCATAAGGTCGCTGGATCAATTCTCGACGTGCTCGTCCATCCCGCCCTACCACATGTCGCCCGCGCCCTCGTTCACTTCGGACCAGCCCATGGCCGACGTGGCAGGCTCAGGCCTCGTTACAAGCAGGCTCGGTATAACGAGCAAGGCGCTGTTTTCCAGCCCTGGGGAGAAGCCTGTGGTTGGGCCGTCTGTCGGCGGTCCAGAGCAGGAAGCGGGAGGGGTGAGGGGCGCGCCAGGGACGACTTACCCCAGCCCTCCCAACGTTCAGACGCTAGTTGTGGTTCGGCACGCCGAGCCTATCGACGAGCAGGACGATGGCTGGGCGGCAGGCTCGGACCGACCCTGGGACCCGCCCCTGTCAGCCCGGGGCGCCAAAGCCGCGGAGGAGGTGGGGCAGGCGCTGAGAGCGCGGGGCTTTGGCGCGGCCAGGAGCAGCGCAGGGGGATCTGGCGGGGGGAGGGCGACGGACGAGGTGCAGGCAGTGGCGGGAGGGGGCGAGGCGAGTGTGCAGCGGGAGGGGGAGGGCGAGAGGGTGGTGCGCGTGGTGGTGTCGCCGTTCAAGCGGTGCGTGCAGACCGCCGTGCACCTCGTCGCGGGGCTGCTGGGCGCGCAGACGACTGAGGGGAAGGAGGGCGGCGCGGGGGAGGAGGTGGGGGCAGGTGGGGCGGCAGAGGGATCAGAGGCGGCTAAGGCGCAGGCGCAGTCGGCGCCATCGGGTGTGACTGTGACGGTAAGGCGCAGAGGGAGCCCCTTCCTGCTCTGCCCCTTCCTGCTCTGCCCCTTCCTGCTCTGCCCCTTCCTGCTCTGCCCCTTCCTGCTCTGCCCCTTTCTGCTCTGCCCCTTTCTGCTCTGCCCCTTCCTGCTCTGCCCCTTTCTGCTCTGCCCCTTCCTGCTCTGCCCCTTTCTGCTCTGCCCCTTTCTGCTCTGCCCCTTCCCTCCTCCCTCTCTTCTGCACTCCCTCAATCACTTCCTCCCTCCAACTTCCTCTCCTTCCTCCTCGAACGGTCCTTTATAGCTGGGGGATCCTGGGTACAGGCTAGGCACATAGGGTAGGTACAAGCATGCATGATGTACAAGCATCCTTCCTCCTCTCACTCTCCCAGCTCGCCCTCTCTCGGTCGCCGCATCTCTTCCTCCATCCCTGCTCCCTCACTCCTGCCCCAACGTCCCTCTCCTCGCTCCTCTCGCCTCCATCTCCCTCCCCCTTTCCCCCTCTTAACCTGCTCTCCCCCTTTCCCCCTTCCTGTGAGTCGTGCCGCTCACGAGTGGCGAGTGTGTCATCGGTGGACGTGGCAGCAGGCGAGGCTGCTTGGGGGAGAGCCCACAGGGATGTGCCACGCCACGCCACGCCACGCGCTGCGCTGCGCTGCGCCGCTCTTGCCAAGACGCCACGCGCTGCGTGTCACTGCCCTCACCTCATTCCTTCCTCCGCTGGCCGCTGATCTCACCACCCCCCACAAGAGCCCAGGAAGTTGCCAGTTCTGCGCCCTCCCACATCGCCCACCACCTGCCTCACTTCGGCTCTGCACCGCAGCCACTGCTGCAGCCACTCCCTACCCCGACACCCCTCCTCCTCGGCCGTGCCACACACGCGCGTGCTGGCGCCTTGTGCCTGCGTGGCACCGTTGCCCCGAGGAAGGACCGGCACGGGCAGTGCTGGGCGCACCACACGCCTTCCCTCTACCCCGCCTTTCGCCCATCCCCTTACCCTCCAGGGGTCCATCTGCAGCGCACTGCCCAAGCCATGCACGCGCCTTCGCTGCCCCCACTCTCTCTGCCCCCCCCACTCTCTCCGCCCCCCCACTCTCTCCGCCCCCCCCACTCTCTCCGCCCCCCCCACTCTCTCCGCCCCCCCCACTCTCTCCGCCCCCCCACTCTCTCCGGCCCCCCACTCTCTCCGACCCCCCCCACTCTCTCCGCCCCCCCCACTCTCTCCGCGCCCCCACTCTCTCCCCCCCTTCCACTCTCTCCCCCCCCCACACTCTCCCCCCCCCACTCTCTCCGCCCCCCACACACTCCCCCCCCCCCTCCACTCTCTCCGTAGCCACCACTCAGTCCAGAATGCACATTCCCACCTGCTGCATCCTCCCTCCCTCCTCCCTCCTCCCTCCTACCTCCTCCCTCCTCCCTCCTCCCTCCTCCCTCCTCCCTCCTCCCTCCTCCCTCCTCCCTCTTCCCTCCTACCTCATTCCCCGTGTTCTTCAGCCCTGACCTGCAAGCGTTTCTCTTCCCTGCGCTTCCCCTCCCCACCCCCCCCGTGTGTGCGCAGGTGTCCATCAGCCCGGCCCTAGCGGAGGTGATGAACACGCGCGCGCTGCGGCGCTGCACGGAGGAGCGCCCGCCCGCCGCCTCCACGCCGCACTCCAGCGTTGCAGAGCACGCCGGGCTGGCGGCGGCAGTAGAGGCAGCAGCAGCGGAGGCGGGGGCCAAGGGGTGGGTGCTGGGGGAGGGCGATCTGAGGGCGCTGTTCCCCGCTGGGACGGTCTTTCTGCCGCTCCATGCTGCTGCCAGCGGGGATGGGCGGGCAGGGTTGGCTGTTGGGGAGGCGAGGCCCGGGAGGAGCGTTCACAGCGAGGTGAGCAAGCACTCCCACAGGTGCCCCGGGCCTGACTGACTGACCGGCACAACTGTATGCCCCACAGAGTTTCTTTTACCTAGGATCGCTCAAAGCCGAAAGAAGGGAAGGCACAACCCTGACAGACAGCGCAATATCTTGACGGCGGATCGCTGAAGGTATGGTTCACAGCGGTTGTAGGTTGTGGTGTGGACACAGGTTGAGAGGCACAGGCTTGCATCAGGACATTCACATCTCAGTCGTTCCTTCATTTTCTAATCCTTAGTCGCAGGCTTGCATCAGGATGGAGCACTCCCTTTGCCTCCACCTCATTTTTTCCTCTTCCCATCCCCCTCCACCCTCTCGCCCTAGCCAGTTCCCCCTCTTCCCTGAGTCCCTGGAGAGTGCGCGGGAGCGCTTCATGCAAGCCTTTGATGACGTGGCGGCGCTCTTCCCCGCTGACAACATCCTCTGCGTGACGCATGGCGATGCCGTCGCCGCCAGCGTGGAGCGCCTCGCGCCCGTCACCGTCGTCGCCGTCGACTTCTGCGGGTACTCGTGGTCGCAGCGCCGCTCAGCACCACTCTACACCACTCTCAACCTCCACCAGCACCACTCCCACCACCATGCCGGCTTGCCGCCACTGCCCCCTCCCCCTCCCCCGCCCCCCACCCCCGCCAACGAGCCGGAGAGTCTGGACGCGGAGGAGGCGAGCCTGCTGGGCTCCAGGCAGACCGTTTCAGCTAGCTTTGCTGCGGCCGTCGTTGCTGCCGGGTCGGAAACAGAGGCGGCTGCTGTGGCGGCGGCAGCAGTGGCTGCTGTTGCTGGGCTGGAGGCGAGGCGACGGGGGGAGCTGGATGGCGTGGCGGAGGAGGGGAGGGAGGGGGAGGAGGGGGAGTTGGGGGAGGAGGGGGAGGAGGGGTCTGAGGACAGGAGTGGGGGGAAGCAGGGCGCGTTGAGTGATGGGGTGGTGATCGTAGGGGGGTCGACGGCATCTGATATAAGCACGCACGAGAGCGAGGAGGACGATAAAGACACACGGAGCATCGACGTGAACAGCAGCATTGACGTGGGGCCGTCGCTGTCCGAGGTGGCTGAGGGGGACGAGGAGGGGGAGGACAGGGAGGGGGAGGAGGGAGAGGAGGTGGAAAGTGAGAGAGGGCAGGAGGGGATGGGGGGGAGGGGGAGGGGGGAGGCGAGGCGAGGGGGTGGCATGGAGGTGGGGGAGTGGGAGCTGCTGACGAGCTCGGGGTCCACGGGCGTGTGCTGGATCTCCAACATCGCCCTCGCCGCCCGCGACGACGAGACGCCCACCAAGGGGCTGGCTTCGTAGCAGTTGCTGTGCCGCTTTGTGCTTGTGCCTGTGCTTGTGTTGATTAGGTATTCGTGTGACGCATTGGTGTGTCGAGAAGCTAGGTAAGGGGAGAAGCCATGGCTATGGCGAGAGGGTTTAGGTTAGGAAATAATGTCGAGAGAGAAGGGTGTTGGACTAGAAGAGAAAGAAATACAAGGGGGGTTTGTCCCCCAGGCCCTCAGATTTCAGGAAATTTTCCCTGATTCAGGGTTTTTTCAGAGGTTCTTTTTGTACCAACCCTGATGTGCTAGGATTGTTGTGGACACAACCCTGAAATTTCAGGGTTTTTTATGGCTGAACTCTGCTTTTACAGCGTTCCTATTGTGGTGGACCCTGTAACCTTTGTAACAGCATGAATAACCGCATGTTCCCCTGCTCTATGTGTGCTGGGGGGTTGTGTGAGCGGGCACTTTGTGGCAAACATATATTGTATGTTTCTGTAGACTATATAGGGTTGTGCCTTAGGGAGTACAACCCATTAGGTTATATTCCCTTGTATGCCTTGTTCTAGATATTCTTTCAGTTGAACTTGGTATCATGAGTAGGTAGGTCCCCCCCCCCCCCCCCCCCCCCCCAGCGCTTCCGCCCTAGGTCATAGCAGCCTCGTCGCCCCGCGGCCCCGTCACCTAGCGGCCCCGTGGCCCCGTCACCTAGCGGCCCCGCGGCCCCGTCCCCTAGCGGCCCCACGGCCCCGTCACCTCACCACCCCGCGGCCCCGTCACCTAGCGGCCCCGCGGCCCCGTCACCTAGCGGCCCCGCGGCCCCGTCACGGTGTTTCTTTCGCGACTCCACGACGGTTACGCCGCTTGCCGCTCCTGCTGCAGTTGCTCTTGCAGACCCTTCCTCCGGTCGTGTAGTTGCCCGTAGCTCCACTACTCTCCCCTGTCTGGCGGTTCCCTCAGGCTCCCTTACAGGCCTGCACATCCCCTCGTTCTCTAGGAACCTAGTTGGTGTCGGCTGCCTCCAGGACCTTGGCGTCACCACTACATTCCCTGGACACGAGCGGTACGCTGTCTGTACTGAGGCCGCCACAGGTGCCCCCCTCACCACGTTCCCCCGGGACCCGGTGTCTGGCGTGTTCACGCTGGACACTGCTCCCCCCCCAGTTAGGACGCCTCCCCAGGTACCTGCGTCTTCCCAGGTTGCTGCGGCCTGCTCGTGTCAGTCACTTACTCACCCGTTGCTTCTGTGGCATCACCGTCTAGGTCACCCCGCCCTCACCCGTCTCCGTCACATGTCCCAGCACCATCTTGTCCTAGGCCTCCCTGAGTCATTCCCTATGCTCCCCTCCTCACCCGCGCCTCCGTGCATGCCCTGCGTCGAGGGCCGGCTCCGCCGTGTCCCTCACTCCTCCTCGTTCCCCCATACCTCCGCACTGCTGCAGACCCTGCACATGGACGTCTGGGGCCCCGCCCCTTTTCATGGGCCACGTCGCGAGCGCTACTTCCTAGTGCTTGTCGATGACTACACCCACTACAACACCGTCTTTCCCCTGGAGCGGAAAGCCGACGTGCCTGACGTTCTTCTCCCGTAGCTTGTCTCTGCGCGTGTTCACCGAGGTCTCCCTATCTTGCGTCTTCACTCCGACCGTGGTGGCGAGTTTGCCTCTGGCTGCCTTGGTCGCTTCTGTCATGCGGAGGGCATCACCCAGACGTTCACCCTGCCGGACTCTCTGCAGCAGAATGGAGTCGCTGAGCAACGCATCGGTTTGGTCATGGAGATGGCTCGTACCTCCATGATCCATGCCGGTGCACCCCATTTTCTGTGGCCGTTCGCCATTCACTACGCCGCTCACCAGCTTAACCTCTGGCCGCACCCTCAGCGGTTGCAGGTTTCGCCGACCCTCCTCTGGTGACGCGTATGCGTTCCACGTCTGGGGCTGCCTTGCTCACATTCGTGCCTCTGGCACGGACAAGCTCACTGCCCGCACTGTCCCCTGTGTCTTCCTAGGTTTCCCCCTCGACTCGTCGGACTGGCAGTTCTACCACCCGCCTTCTCACCGATTCTTTCACTTTCGTGACGTCACTTTGACGAGTCCGTCTCCTTCTACCACCGCTTTACCCACCGTGGTCCCCCGGTCACTCCCCCCTTGTTCCTGTTGCCCCCCCCTCCCCCAGTCGACCCTGTCCACCCCCCTCCCACTCTGCCCCGTTTGGTGTGTCTCACGTCACCCCCCTCTCGTCGGTTGTCCCTGCTGAGGAGTCCGCTGACTCTCACGGCTCGGCGGAGTCACTTCCCCCGCCTGTCCCTGCCCCGGTCTCGCCTCCCCTTTCGCCGCCGCTACTGTCCCCGCCACAGCCGCCTCCGCCGCTGCCGCGCAGCCGCAGCCACCGTCGTGACCGCCGCTGAGGTTTGTGCGTTCTGGTGCGAGCTATGGGGGTGCTGGAGTAGGGCTTCTCGGAGGGAGCCGTGCTGTCGCTGGAGGTTTTGGTGTTGGAGTTGGGCAGCAGTCACAGCTGTCGCCACCGGTGTCCGCTCTTCGCCTCCTCGGTCTTCCTTCCTCTGACCGCCCGTCGCTGCCTCCCCCGCCTCCTCCTCTGCCGATCCACAGCCCCGTGTTTCCTCCCCCAGACTCCTCCCCAGCTCGTTTCCCTCCCCGTTCTCCTCATGTGTCTCCTCCCCTCTCTCCTGACCCGACTCCTCCGTCTCACGTCTGGTCTCGTCGTCCGTCTCATGCTCGTCCTACCTCCCCTGTTCCACATTCTCACCCTATGTTGCTTCGCTCTCATGCGTCTCGTGCTTGTGAGAGTACGATGCCGTTACACCAATTTCCCCTTTCCATATTTCCTTTCTATTTCATTCCTCTTTTTCTCTCATCTCATTTGGTTTCTTATTTCTCCTACTCCATTATCCTTTGGTTTATCCTGTTATTATAATTATATCATCGACCAGGCTCGGGATGTACTGGCGCGCTATATCTAGCGTAATCCTGCCGTAATCCCTTAAAGCCAATAGCCTCGCGTGGCTATACGCAGAGTGATTCTATTTCTTGAAGGGTGTATTCCCTCCGGATAGGATAAACCTGGTTACCTGATGTACTTTGGAAGTATAAAAGCAAGCGCCTTATATGAATCGATAGTGCAATTTTTTCCTGGACACATTCGATCCTGTGACGCTTGGTATTAGAGCTTTTCTCACTCAACTGCGCTCAGCTAAGCAGGAGCAGCGGGAAAACCTGCTTCGAAAAATCGCCGGGGGCGACTAATTCGGCGCCGATTCTGGTCAGCACTAGCTCCGCATTTTTCGAAACCACCCCCCCGTGCGTGTTTTGATTAGGATGGCGAACTTCGACAACGTCGAGGTTACCCAGCAGCTCTTCGTGAGCATTGCCGCCCTTCAGGAGGAGATGCGAGCCGATCGCGAAGCTTGGCGAAACGAGTTCGAGGGAGTAACTCGACTCGCCGGCGGAAAGAATCCCGTGCACTCTGGAGGTGTTATCACCATACATCAAGTGTGATCCACGTCAGATAATAATAGATCTGAGCCAGCCTCCCAAACACTCGTTCTAGAGTCCCTCTTTGCAAGAGCCACGATAAGTTTTAAATGTCCTTCTACAAACCAGACCCTTATCACTACAAATATGTAATATAGAAACCCGCATCATATACCACCTTTTAAGCTCTAACAAACTCTATATCCTCCTCACCGTCATCAAAATCCACTCCTCTCACCACACCCTCCAACAAGCCTGAAACTTGCATAAGCTCCAATTGGCGATGACCACCCGTCACATCAGGCAACCCAATTTCTCCACCCTCCCCCCAAATTGCTGCGCCAATTTCCTCATCACCACCATACCCCTGACGCTCCACGTGCTCGAATGAATATCTCGAGGCATCGACGAGGGAAGGCTCGGAATACACAGCCGCATAATCACTCGAGTTGCCACTTTGTGTGGGGGAAGACGCAGGGTCGTCCCCTGAAGGCGGGAGGAGTGGCAACGGGCGTATGTGCCAGTCTATAGGGTGGTTGGCGATGGCCGGGCGGGGAGCGTGCATTAGGAGGGAAGCATGGGTTCAGTGCAGTGCTACAGAGGTGTGGAGAGGGGGGTGTGAGGAGGAAGAGGGGGATAGCACGACACGACAACGGTGACGACGCAGCAGTCGCAGCAGTTTCTCGAGGCACCGAAACTATGCCCACCTGAGCCGTTCGATCCGAGTGATCGAAACTCCAACGCTCGCAGATGGATTGCCGGCATGGAGATCTACTTCGCAGCCGTTTGATGGAGCTCGCTTGTCTGGGATGGTCAACGCGTACGACTCGCGGCGACACTGATGCGAGGACCGGCACTCGAGTGGATCGGCGGTAACAGCACGTTCATCCACGGCGAAGCCACGTGGCAGCAATTCCACACCGACCTGCTGAAATGCTTCGAGACGATAAATTCGGGTTTCCTTGCCCGGAAAAAAATTCATCGCCATCGATAGTTTGGGAGAGTAGCGCAGTACACGCAACAAATGGAGGAATTTTATAACCGCATTCCTCACCTGACCGAAGGGGAAAATGTACAGTCGTATCTCGTCGGGCTGAAGATTGAAGTCAAACGACAGGTAGCAGCGACAAACTACGCGAGCTACAGTGACATCGTTTCGGCAGCAAAGCGGTTCGACATGGTCAACGCCGGAACACGATGGGCGTACGTTGGCAGTATGCGACAGGGCGACCGCTCGGCTCACACCACGTTCGCCGACCCGATGGAAATCGACAGGTTCGACGGGCGGCCACGTTCGAAAAACACCAACTACACATGTGATTTTTGTGGGGTGCCGGGCCATCGAATCTTTGACTGCAACAAAATGAAAGCCGCACGCACAGAGTATCGGGCACGCAATAGTGGCGGAAATTCTTCGGCCAATCAGAAGGAAAAAAACAGAATTCGCTAGTGATTGTGGATCTAGCTGGCGAAAAATAAAAGATCCGAAAACGGCCGCGGGATTCTGGGAAAATCAACTTCGACAAAGCTGATTCGACGCGAGCAGGAGGAAATGATGGGGAAAAATTCTCCACCCCACGACCAGTCTTCGCCAGAGAAAATTGCCGAGAAAAATACGACTCCGCGAAAAAGGACTCTGCCGAGACGGGGAAACTCCGAGAAGACCCTAGAAATTATAAGGATTCGTTAAAGTTATCTTATAAAGATGCTTTAATGAAAACTTATCATTCTCGAAGGGCTAGAGCCTTGGAGAAAATTCGCGAGGGACTCCAAAAGAAGCAGAAACTTGTGGAGATCATACCAGTACCGGAAAACTTGGGGACAAAATTAAGGAGTGTGGAAAGAAGCCGACCTTTCCGCGGAGTCAACGTCCTCTCCGACACCAGCCCACAACAACTATCTGTTCCCTAGGGAAGACGGCGGTGGAGCTGAAGCAGCTCAAGAGGAAGCTGGGGGTCTACAAGAAGCTGCAAAAACCCCGAACTCCTCCTCTGGATGCATCCAGCTCAGCAAATTCGGCATCAATGACTCACACAGTCAAGAAAGCTCAGGAACCTGATGGGGTCACCATTTCTGGTGCTCTTCCTGTTGTTTCTTGAGCAACGCCAGTCTCGGTTTGCATTCCTAAAGTGTGCAGTCTAGAGTTACCGGGTTGAGTGTCTTGGGCATTGGGTGAGCCCGTAGAGGTTTTCTTGCCCTTGCTGTCCATGACTTGTAATCAATGAAGTCGTTGGTGTGCTGATTGTAGATAGAGCGTAGTTGCTGGGAGTTTGGTCTCTGACCAGCTCTCATACCATGTTGGGCTGAGAAAAAACCCTTAGGATCTTTCCAGAGACTAAGTCCCAGTTGTACAAGATACTTGAGTAGTGCAGCGGAAGTTGAGTAGTTGAACCCTTGCACTAGTATGTGAGAGCAAGTGATTGATTAAAGGAAACAAGCATACAGCAATATATAGAAGATAGGAAAGTAAAGCAGTTGTAGAATACAGTTGAAGAACGGTTATCGAGTCGCACAGCGACTCGATGGTCGATTCGGTTACCACCCTTGCAATTGTAACGGTCAGTCGCAACCTCCGGTTGCGACCCTTCGAGTCTTTCGTCCTTTCGTGTTCTTTCGTCCAACCTCCTCGTGTAACCTCCGTTGACTCGTATACTCGATACGGCTTCACTCGAGTGTGGTGTTACACTTCAGAAACGCGTAAGTCCTTGAGGTATTTCCAACAACTAGCATAGAGAAGAGTTGCATCTGTAATGTTCCAACCAGCATGATGTAGAATGACCAGGCATAGCTTGTAGAGAAACTTGCAGCACTGTACAGGGCCTCAGATAGGATTTTGGGCATCCTGACCAATCAGGGTTGGCCCCCAAAAAACTGTGTAGCACTCAGGGTTGGTTGGCTATATTCATACTGAATCCTCAGGGTGGTTCCCCAGTTTATACTGTGCCCTCAGGGTAAATTCAAAAATGTTGGAAACATTGTATTAAGTTACATTGCACAGCAGCAGGATACTAACAGGATGTTGGCACTTCATGTTTTGCGCTAGCTTAGCCACTATTGGTCAAAATTTGGCGAAAATCTACGCACGCAGCAAATTTGGCCGGGAATTTTTCTGGCAGTCTGATTGTTCAAGGCCTATTGCTTTGTGAACCGATGTCAGGCCTTTTTCGTGTCATTAGGGATTTCGCTTGTCAAATTTGCCCGTCAACGCAGTCTTGACATGAATTAGCGTGACTTGTGTCGGCGTTGAGACACGCCCTCAGTTGAAAAATGCCACGTCTGTATTTTTAGAGGAAAGTCGAAGGCATGTGAGCGAACGTGAAACATTTGCCGTTGAGCTGTTCTGACGGCCCGTTTGAGTTTGGATGTTTGGGAGCTCCAGGGAATTTTGGGCATTGCGAATTTGATGGCCAAGATCTGTTCAAGTGAAATAACAGAAATTTGGGTCGTTCGATCGTCGACGAGATTGAATCGTATGTTGAGACTTTGGGGGGTTTGAATACAGTGCGTGCGGAAGACTACGCTAAAACGGGTAGGAATGTCTAGCTCGCCGATATTTTCGGGTTGAGGGGGGTTCGTGGAGGATTGTCTCTAGGATCGATGAATTCACCGAAAATTTAGAGTAGCGGGGCGGGGGGCGGGGGGGTTGGGTTTCGTTCGAGGATTGTCTCTAGCATTAAGGACTTAGCCAAAACAGAGTAGCGTGGGGCTGCTTTGTTGCTAGAGACGCATTGATGACTTCACCAAAAATTTAGAATGGGGGGGGGGGGTGGGGGGGTGGGTTTCGTTCGAGGATTGTCTCTAGCATTAAGAACTTAACCAAAATAGAGTGGCATGGGGCTGGTTGGAGGATTGACTCTAGCATCGAGGACTTAGCTGAAATTTGTTTGGGCAGAAAAACACAAAGCATGCGCCCGTGGGGTGGGGCACGTGCATTTGCAAGATTCGATGAATCAGGGTTGTTCCCGGAAGCATACTGACACCTCAGGGCTGGTACACGAACACTATACTGAAACTTCAGGGTTGCATTATGACTTAAAACTGAATTCACAGGGTGGAAAATGACCTTAAACTGAATTTTCAGGATTGACCCCTAACAAGCATCCTGAAAATCAGGAATTCAGGATAAAACATCCTGATATCTGAGGGGCTGGCACTGTACTTTGGATCACCAACACTTATTCGTGTACGAGTGACACGCGTTCTGGATCCATTCTTGAGGGATTCACCCTTCCGAGGAGCTCTTGGTTTGCGGACACATTCACGTGATGTCTCAGAAAGGGAGAGGTGGGAGTGGCACTATCACTATCCTCCCCTGGCTGGAGTCCTGAGGAGCCTCAGAGCATCTCCCCAGCTACCTTCTCCTCAGCATCAGCGCTTGGCCTGCCATCACCGCTCTTCACTTCGCATCAGCGCTTGACCTCCCATCAGCGCTCCTCCCCTCAGCGCTTGGCCTCCCCTCAGCGCTTGGCCTCCCCTCAGCGCTTGACCTCCCCCCCCCCCCCCCCCCCCCCCCCCCCCCCCTCTTCCCCCCCCCCCCCCCCCCCCCCCCCCCCCCCCCCCCCCCCCCCCCCCCCCCCCCCCCTCAGCGCTTGGCCTCCCCTCAGCGCTTGACCTCCCCTCAGCGCTTGACCTCCCCTCAGCGCTTGGCCTCCCCTCAGCGCTTGACCTCCCCTCAGCGCTTGACCTCCCCTCAGCGCTTGGCCTCCCCTCAGCGCTTGACCTCCCCTCAGCGCTTGGCCTCCCCTCAGCGCTTGGCCTCCCCTCAGCGCTTGGCCTCCCCTCAGCGCTTGGCCTCCCCTCAGCGCTTGGCCTCCCCTCAGCGCTTGACCTCGCGGATGGGCAGCTCCTTGGCGCCCAGGGTGGCGTCGGCGAGCGAGTGGAAGCACAGGTACGGCGCCACCAGGTCGTTGCACTGCCGCCACGCACGGGGTGAGCAGAGGCGGGAATAAGAAAATGATGGTGCAAGGTGAAGGGTCTAAGTCCATGCGTACAGCTAGGGGATATCTGGATGTGCTGTGCGAGAAATAATGAATGCATAAAGAAGACAAAAAATAATGGCTGTGGCGGGCGAGCATTGGGTTGTAACCATTTAGCAGGGCAATGCTGACCTCGGTAACTGCAAACAGCTTACAAACAAGGGTTTTGAGTTAAGGGTTGCAGTGGGCAGGGGTGCCGAGTACAACAGTGGGGTCACTGGCAATGGGTGCTGGACGTGTTGAGTTGAAATGGACAGGGGGAGAGCGGTGGGAGTAGAGGTGAGCGAGGAGAGACGAGTGAAGAGGTGAGAAACGAAAGGTGGGGCCGAAGCAGGTGGGGGCGAAGCAGGTGGGGGCGAAGAAGGTGGGGGCGAAGAAGGTGGGCGAGGAGGTGGGAGAGGAGAGGCGGGAGAGGATAGTTGAGAGGGAGAGTCAGACGGGGAGATGGGAGGTGAGGAGGAGGAGTGCGAAGGGCAGCTGCAGGCGCGAGTCGAGCAGCGAGTGGATGAGGTGCATGAGGGAAGTGACATGCGGGCGAGAGGCAGCGGTGAATGAGTGAGAGGCAGTGGTGAATGAGTGAGAGGCAGTGGTGAATGAGTGAGAGGCAGTGGTGAATGAGTGAGAGGCAGTGGTGAATGAGTGAGAGGCAGAAGTGAATGAGTGAGAGGCAGTGGTGAATGAGTGAGAGGCAGTGGTGAATGAGTGAGAGGCAGAAGTGAATGAGTGAGAGGCAGAAGTGAATGAGTGAGAGGCAGAAGTGAATGAGTGAGAGGCAGAAAGGGCAATAATGGTAGCAGACCAGAAGAAGGGAAGAGGGCAGCTGCAGGTGCGAGATGAGCAGCGTGTCCACGCCGTGCATGCGGGAGAGAGGCAGCGCCGCCACCACGTGCGCCACACCCCGGTTCACGTCCACACCGCGCACCACACCTGGCAGACAATGACGTGGGCGCATGGTGGGGCGGCGGGTTGGGCAGGCAGGTACACATGCACAAGAGTAGGCAGCCAGGTAGGTAGGAGAGAGGCAGCGGCGCCGCGCCACCATGTGCGCCACACCGTACGTCAACGCCTCGAACAACACCTGGTGGACGCCTTATTGAACAGCAGGTAGGGCAGAGAGTTGGGCGGGAAGTGTGATAGAGGGATGAGCGGCAACGACAGGAGGGGCAGACATGGAAGAGAGGGGGAGAGGGAGAGGTGCGAGAGTGCATGGTGCAGTGCACCTAGGCATGTGGACGGGAGCCAACTCCTGCGGAGGAGGAAGAGGCGAAAGCATGCCACAGAGTGAAGGGCGGAGGACAGCGTGCGGCAGGAGGGGCCAGTACCGAAGGAGAGGCAGGGCATGAGAGCGGCGTCCTGAGGGTTCCACACGAGTGACGGGAAGGCTGGCGCTGTCCCTGCTGCTGCTCCTGGTGCTGGTGGTGGTGGTGGTGGTGCTGCTGCTGGCACTGCTGCTGCATCGGTTTCAGCTGCTGCTTCTGGTGATGGTACCGGTGGCAACGCTGGTATTGCAGCAGCCATGGCGGCAGCCGCAGGAGCAGAGGCCTCAGCAGCAGGCAAGGAAGGGAGAGGTGGCAGGGCGGGGAGTGGGGGAGGGGAGGAGGAGCAGAGGCCGACGATGGAGGCGTTGAGGGCGATGAGGGTGTTGCCGGGGGACAGCTGGGGGGAGGGGGGGTGCATGACACGGGACGAGGGGAGGGGAGGTGGAGGGATGGGTGAGTGTGAGAGGGGGGGAGAGGCATTGTGCTGTGTGAAATGCAGACAATGACCCCGCCCTGACCTTTTGAACACTGCCCTAACACTCACCCACCCATGCACCCATCCACCCATGCACTCACCCACCCATGCACTCACCCACCCATGCACTCACCCACCCACCCATGCACTCACTCACCCATACACTCACCCACCCACCTCACCTCACCTCACCTCACCTCGCTCCGCACTTCGCCGTGCATCTCCCCCAGGTCTACCTCTAAGGGCGCCCGCCAAGCCAGCAGGTGTGCGCAACAGGCCATTTCCCAGTGCGCACTTAGTACCTATTTTGCTTGCTCACCTCGCCGTGCACGCAGCCCACTTGCACCTCCCCCAGGTCCACCTCGAAGGGAGCCCGCCACGCCAGCAGGCGGGCGCAGCGCGCCATCTCCCAGTGCTCGTCAAAGGGGAAGAGGAAGAGCGGCGGGGGGAGGCCGGGCAGGGGGGGAGAGGAGAGGGCGGAAGGAGCGGATGTGGTGGCAGCAGTGGGTGTTGCGGGGAGGCGGGGGATGCAGCGGGCGAGCTTGGCGAGGGCGAGGCGGCGGGCGGGGGAGAGGGCGAGGCGGATGGCTGCCAGCACTCGCAGGCTGCGATGCTCGTGAGCCACGCGGTAGGAGTTGCTGGGGGGGGAGAGGGGGAAGGTGGGGGGTTTGAGGGGAGATGGAAGTATCGCAAAGGTCCAAGTGTGCCATTCATTGCAGTTGGTTCTTACCGCTGATGCACACACAAGCATTCAGTGTGACACACCTCACATCACAGAAGGCATCCCCATTCCACACTCTGCACCGCCCATTATACTCTCACCCCTCCCCGTCCCTCGCTCCCTGCCCCCATCCGCCTAACCTGACACCGGGGCCAGTGTTGGCTGACAGCGATGCCACGGTGATCAAAGACGTGCGCACCGCTACCACTGCCCCCACTGCTGCCCCTTTCCCTGCTCCCCCTCCTCCTGCTGCTGTTTCCCCTCCCTCTCCTCCCCCTCCCCCTTCCCCTTCCCCTCCCAGCCCTCTTGCAACCCCACCCCTATCTACCACATCCCCCACATCCCCCACATCCCCCGAATCCTCCCCCTCCCCCTCCCCCTCCCAGTCCGCGCCCCTCCCCCCTGCGCCGTCCCCCGCGCCCCCCAGCCCCCCCAGGGGCGTCATGTTGGGGTTCATGTCGTCGGGGGCGAACCCCCCCGGCTGCCAGAAGTGCCCCGCAGGCAGGTTGTCCGCGGCGTCAGGCGCCAGCAGGGAGAGCACGTGCGTGGGGGCGGTGTAGCGGATGAAGTCCACCAGCACGTCGTACCCGATGCCTGGTGGGGGCCCGATGGCAGAGGGGGGGGGGGAAAGGGCAGAAGGAAGAAGACATAGGGATGGGGAAACAAGGAGGGGGAGAGGGAGGCGGATGGGGAAACGAGGGTCAGGGAGAGTGTGAAAGGGGGGCTGTAGCGAGTGAGGCCCCCTAGCATGTCGGGTGGGCGCAGGGGGGTGGGGGGATCGTCCAACGATCAGGAAGAGGGGGGTGCACTCACCCTTGATCCACCCGTGCGTGTTGATCACTAGGGGAGTCGCAGCCGTCCCGTGGCCGTCGTAGTAGTGCTGTCGGAAGGCGTCATACAACGAGAAGAGCTGTCTTAGGTACAGCGCCGGGTCGTTGCCCGGGCTGATGTCGCCGTACAGGTGGCTCGTCAGGGGCGTGCGCTGGTGCAGCGCCGGGTGGCCTGGTGGGGGCGCACGGGCGCAGCCATGGGGGAGTGGGTGAGTGAGGGAGAAATGGGGTGGCTGATAACTCCGTACAGGTGGCTTGTGACATTTGGGGCGCGTGTTGGTGCAATGCGGGGCCGGGTGGGCTGCAGGGGGGAAACTGGAGACATGCCGGAAGAAGAAGAGGAGGCATGCCGGAAGAAGAGGAGGCATGCCGGAAGAAGAGGATGTGAGAAACTGAATTGATGATTGTATTAGGAAAGGAGTGGGTATACATAGGTGAGGAGTAGGAGGGGGGGTTTGGTTGGGAGGTGACCACGATTATTGGTGACCCCAATAAGTTGAGTTGGCCAACTTATTGGGGGTCCAATAATCCTAGCCAAGATTTTTGGTGGGTCCAATAATCTTGGTTGGGATTATTGGGGGTTCCAATAATTGGGAGCCCAACCAATTTGGGAATCCAACAAGGTTGGGAGCCCAACCCCCAACTTGGGTGTATACACCCTAGCGGGGTGCTTCTAAAGTACCTAAGACGATGAAACGATGTAGGCTAATAAAATGAAGGGAGGATATTCTAACACAACCCCTTAGCCTACAGAGCGCCATAAGTCTTGGGAAGGTGAGGAGAAGCAACCCTTGAGTCAGGTATTCCCCTGTGAGGGAGGGGCAAGACCTAGAAGGCGAAGGAGAGCCGCATGGGGGCGGCGAGGGAGGGTCTTGGTGAAAATGTCCGCAAGGTTGGCTGAAGAGTCAATCTTGCGGACGGTGAGGTGTCCAGCCTGGACGAGCTCACGAACGAAGTAGTGGCGAAGCTCGATGTGTTTGGAGCGACCATGAAAAACGGCCTCCTTCGTGAGGTGGATAGTACTGGCATTGTCGCACCAGATGGTGGGACAGGGCTGGGGAGCATCCAGCTCAGCGAGGAGGAAGCTGAGCCACCGCGCTTCCTGGGCCGCCATGGTGACGACGTAGAGTTCTGCTTCGCAGGAGGAGAGAGCGATCGAGGAGGAGCGGGTGGAGCGCCAGGAAATGAGGCCGCTCCCGAGGGAGAAACCATACCCTTGTGAGCTGCGACGATCGGGCTGAGAATCCGCCCAAGAGGAGTCGCTGTAGCCACTGAGCTGAGGAGGGGTGGGGCCACCCAAGGTGAGGACATAGTCCTTGGTGCCTTTGATGTAGCGAAGAACGCGCTTGGCCGCTTGCCAGTGCTCGGGAGTGTGTTAGCCGGTGCCGACAAAGCGGGCCAGGACACTGATAGGGTAGGCGAAGTCGGGGCGGGTGCACATCATCGCGTACATCAGGGACCCGACCAGCTCAGCGTAGAACTGGTGGAGGGACCGTGGGTGGATGTCGGCGAGAGCTTGTGGCAGACTTGGAGGGGTGTGGAGACGGGTTTGGCCGTGGCCATCTCGAAGCGTTCAAGGACCTTCTCGAGGTAGAATGCCTGAGAGAGGGAGATGGACTTGGCTGCACGATCGCGAGAAATCTCCATCCCGAGGTAGTGGCGGACCTCCCCCAGGTCCTTACAGAGGAGGCGCTTATGCAGCTCATCCTTGACCTGCTGAAGGTCTGCTTTGTTGTCAGCGGCAAGAAGCATGTCGTCGACATAGACGAGGATGTAGAAGGGGGAGGGGGAGGTGCGCAGGAAGAGGCAGGAGGAAGCCTGGGAAGGGCGAAAACCGAGAGCGCGGAGAGCGCTGGAGAGCTTGGCATCCCATTCCCGAGGAGCCTGTTTGAGGCCGTACACCGGGCGGCAAAGTTCCCAAACGGCGTTGGGAGGGAAAGGGAGCTGCCAGCCCTCGGGATACTCCATGAAGATGCGCTCATGGAGTTCATCTTGGAGAAATGCTGTAGTGACATCCATCGAGTACAGGATCATGCCGAGCCGGTCGACGAAGTCCAGAAACACGCGGACGACAGGGGGAGTGGCGGTCGGCGAGTAGGTGTCAAGGAAGTCATGGCCGTACCGCTGCGTGAATCCTTTGGCGCAGTAGCGGGCCTTATAGACCGGGTTGTCGCCAGGGAGGAGCTTGACCCGAAATACCCATTTGCCTTTGACCACGTTGTGGTTGAGAGGGTGGGGTACGTCGATGAAGGTGCCGTTGCGGACAAAGGCCTCATTCTCTTTGAGGACTGCCTTGCCCCAATGAGGGTGGTCGGGGCATGTCATAGCTTCGTGATAATCTTCTGGCTCGAAGATGATGGGCGCACCGGAGAAGACAAGTACCGGGGCGCCAGTCATGCTGAAGGCGACTGCTTGGGTGTTGGAGAAGAGGTGGATGCGAAGAAATTCACCATGGGAGTTTTCGATGAGGAGGGGAGAGAAAGGAGGAAGAAGGGAGGGTGGTGTTGCAGTCTGCTGCTCTGCTGAGGGGGGAGGCTGCGACACAACGACTCTGCGACTCGGCTGCACGGCTGCTTGACCGGGGCAACTGCTGCGGCGGATCCTGACGCTGCGGGTGCGGCGACCGGGGCAGGCACAGGTGCGGCGGCGGGAGCTGCTGCGGCGGGTGCGGAGGTGGAAGCAGAGGGTGCTGGAGCGGGTGCCTTTGCCTGAGGGGAGGGAGGGGCTAAGGGCGGACCAAAGAGGGGATCCATGGACCGAGTATGAGGGCGGTGGCGAAGGACAAGGGGAGAAGACACCTGGGGGGGTGGAGGAGGAGGTGGGGGAGATGGGGGAGGACGGGGGGAAGGAGGTGGAGGGGGAGGAGGTGGGGAGAAGGGGGAGGATGGAGCGGAAGCGGAGTGAGAGGGAGAGGGGGGGAGTACTGGGTCAAGGATGTCACCTGAGGAAGATGAGGAGGGAGCAGATTCGGGAGGAGGAGGTGCTGGGGGTGGGGGAATAAGAGGGAGAGGGGGGAGGAGGGGGGGGGTGACAGTGTCACAGGGGATGAGGGAGCGAGAAGGAATGGTGAGTGGGTCAGGTGAGGCAGGGGAGGTGTAGTACGGGGAGGATTCGTCAAAGATGACGTCCCGACTACGAATGAGGCGACCTGAGGGGGGATGAAGGAACAGGTAGTCAGGGGAGGAGGTGTTGTGACCAAGGAATACATAGGGTCGACTCTTGGAGGCGAGCTTTCCTGCTGTGCATGAGCGGTCGGCCGGGTGTATGAGAACATACGCCCTGGAACCCCAGACGCGCAGGGGGGAGACGTCGGGTTTAGTTGACGTCCACAGCTCGGTGGGGGTGGTGGAGGGGAGGAGAGGGTGGGGATACAGGTTAGTGAGGAGGACGGCGTGGAGAAGAGCATAACCCCAGAGAGAAGGCGGGCAGGAGGCGTGAACGAGAAGACACCTGGCGGTCTTTGTAACTTCTCGAACACGAGCTTCTGCCACGCCATTCTGCTGAGGGGAGTGAGGGAGGGTGTAAGTGTGGTGAATACCATGGGTGGAGAAATAGGAAGAGAGATGGTGATTGAGGAATTCACCGCCGCCATCGGAATGGAAGCGGCGAACGGGACGACCGAAGTGGGTGCGCGCCTGCTCGGCCCAAGCGATGATAAAGGCCGGTGCCTCGGCCTTCGTGCGAAGGAGGGAGACCGAGGTGTATCGTGAGCGGTCATCGACTAGGACGAGGAGGTAGCGGTGCCCTTGACGGGTGGGGGAGGGGTTGGGGCCCCAGAGATCCATGTGGACAAGATCCAGGAGCTCTGGGGCGCATGAAGGGTGACTTTTATGAGGAAGCTGCTTGAGCTTGCTCTGGACACAGATGGTGCAAGGGGGGGCGGGGGAGGGAGGGAGTGGGGGGAGAGTGAGGGGAAGACCATTGAGGAGTCCGGAGGCGACGGCCTTATGGAGGGTGGCAAAGTTGGGGTGACCTAGGCGGTGGTGGAGGAGGATGGCAGGATGTGTAAGATCACGCCAATGGCACTGAGATGGGGGGGGAGTAGGAGGGGCGGGAGGGGAGGTGGGGGGAGGTTGCGGAGGAAAGAGGGGAGGGGGGAGGGGGGGGATGGTGGAGGCAGTGTGACAGGCTGATGGACGGGGAGTGTGAAGGGTGTACATGCGAGTGCGAGGACACATGGGAACACGGACGATGAAATGACCCGTGGATGAGTGAAATAGGTCACAGTGGGTGGCGTGGCCGGGGTAAATTGTTGTGACCCCGGCCCGTTGAAGTGCACCTTGGGAGACGAGGTTAGTGCGAAGGGAGGGGACATGGAAGCCAGTGACTGAACCTGAGGGGAAGAGGGGGCAGGGAAGAGTGGAGGTATGGCGGGAGGTGACCGAGAAAGTAGAATCGGCTCCAATGATGGTGGATGGGTTAGGGAGGGGGGTGAGGGCACCAGCGTCACGAAGGACTGTAACACTGGCGCCGCTGTCAATGACAAACTCAATGGAAGGAGGGGTGGGGTGAGACACGGAGTACTGGAAGGAGGTTTCATTAATAGACTCGGGATACATAGGAGGAATAGCAGGAGAAGCATGGCTAACATGGTTGATGAAGCCAGGAGAGGGAAATGGGGTAAAGCCAGGAGGTCCGGTGGGGGTCTGCGCAGGAGGAGCAGGAGCAGAGAGGCCGGAGCTCCAGGCGGAGGGAGGGGAGGGCTGCTGCTGAGACTGCTGGTGCTGCTGAGACTGTAGCAGCTGCTGGAGGAGCTGCTGCGGCTGCTGCTGGGACTGCTGCGGCTGCTGGGTCTGCTGCGGCTGTGGGGACGGAAGGAGGGGCGTGACCTGCTGGAGGATCTGTGGAGGGAGGTGCTGTGCGATGATGTAGTGGAGAGAGGTAGAGGAGGGCTGATAGGCGGGGAGGGTACGAACATCAAAGGGAGTGGGAGGTGGAGTGATAGCGGACCAACGAGGGGGGCGTGCTTGTGTTGCCTCGATCAAGCCACTCATCTGTGAGGGCCTTGAAGCATGTGGTGGTGGCATGGGTGGTTTGGAGGCAGCGCTTACCCTTGTTGGGGCCGTTGCGGATGAGATACTGACACGGGGGGAAGCGGCCGGTGCTGCTGGAACCACTTCTACCCCCGCGTCCTCCACTGCGCCCCCCGCCACGTCCACCACCCGATCGTCCCGCCGAAGTACCGCCACGGCCAGCACCACGTCCTCCTTTTGCTTGGGCAGCATGAGCCGTTGGAGGAGACTGGCGGAGAAGCTCCGCTTCAGTTTTCATAATCCATGCGGCTACATAGGCGGAGTCGGGTGGGAAGCTGGCGTGGACATCATTGAACGCCACGCGACGGGCATCGTACATGGGTGTGAGGCTGTCGAGGAGGCGGCAAACGATGAGGGAGTCGGGAAGGGGAGAGCGACGATCGGCAAGGCGTTTGGCAGTGGTGAGGAGGCGGCGCGTGAAGGAGAGGGCGTTGGGGCAGGAGTTGAGGTTGATGTCGAGGAAGGCGCGGTGGAGCGCTAGGAGAGAGTTGGTGTCCTGGAGGTCATACGTGGCACATAGCTCTTTCCAGAACTCGGGAGCGGAGGAGGGGGTAATTTCACGTTTGAGGGAGGAAGGAACGCATGCAAACAGGATAGCGAGACATTTGCGATTGGCAACGTTCCAGGCAGAGTGGCGACGACGGTACTCACGAAAGTCGTCAGCATACTTAGCAGTGATGTCCTTGTGCTGTTGGAGGAGGGTGTTGGCAGCGTTGTGCGCAGCTTGCTCTGCGTCATACGCGTGCTGGAGGAGAGTGTACTCCGCAAAGTCCTTGTCATATTGGTGCTGCACGCGAGCCCTGTGATCAGGATTGTCGGTGTAGACCAGCGGGAGGGTTTGGTGGGGGCTGGTCCCGAGGGGGCCGGAGGTGGGGCGGGAGGTGCAGGGGAGACATTTGCAGGATGCTCTGGGGGCTGCCCTGCGTTAGAGCCAAGGAGAATGTCGAGGAGGCAGTAGTCGTTCATGATTGCAGATCCGAGGACATTGGTAAGGCTCTGGGCAAAGGTAGCCCAGTTGACAGGGACAGCGTCGTCGATGAGCTCGAGGACGTCGATGGTGGAGATGTCGACGGCGAGTGCTTCGGTGGTCATGGTGCAATTGCGGGTGCTGCTGCTGTTGCTGCTGGGGATGAGGGGAGAGGGGAGAAGGAGGAGGGAGGGGAGGGGGGGGAATACGGCTGTTGATGGCTGCTGCAGATGAGGCGGCTGTTGCTGCTGGTGGGGGGAGGAAGGGGAGTAGGAGGAGGTGGAAGGAGGGGATGTGGCTGCTGCGGCTGATGAGGGGAGTGGGGAGGAGGTGAAGGGCGGTGGAGGGTGCGGTTGTGGCTGCTGATGCGGCTGCTGCGGCTGATTGGGGAAGGAAGCGGCTGCTGCTATTGGTGGGGAAGGAGGAGAGGAGGAAGGGGGGGGGGGGGGAGAGGGGGAGGGGAGGAAGGGAAGGAGGAAGGAGGAGGAAAAAGACGGGTGCGCGGAGCGCAGCTCTTAAGTCGCCGTAGGCAGCTGCGCGACGCGAAGCCTTCTTCGGGCGCCGATGCGAAAGGCAATGGCCGGCGTGGATGGTGGCGATTTGGACGCTGCCGGCAGTTGCGTGCGGTGCGCGCCGGCACAGAGGTCAGCCCGGCCGAATCCCGCTTGTTAGGCGGGGGCGCCGGGACTGCACAAAGGGGGAGGAGGCGACGGAGTGCGGAGGAGAAGGCGTGTCGAAATATGGCGGGAGGGCCGCGTCAAGGTGGTGCGGGAGCGCCGCGTCGAATTGCGGCCGAACGTCGCATCAAAATGCGGCCGAGCGCCGCATCGAAATGCGGCAGGAGCGCCGCGTCGAAATGCGGCAGGAGCGCCGCGTCGAAATGCGGCCGAGTGTCGCGTTGAAATGCGGCAGGAGCGCCGCGTCGAAATGCGGCCGAGCACCGCGTCGAAATGCGGCAGGAGCGCCGCGTCGAAATGCGACCGAGCGCCGCGTTGAAATGCGACAGGAGCGCCGCGTCGAAATGCGGCCGAGCGCCGCGTCGAAATGCGGCAAGAGCGCCGCGCGAAAACGCAGCGACTAAGGGCGCGAGGAGGGGCGGGCGCGGGGAGGGGCGCATAAGAGCGCGGGGAGGGGCGCTTAAGGGCGCAGGGAGGGGCGCTTAAAGGCGCGGAGAGGGGCGCTTAAGGGCGCGGTGAGAGGCGCGTTGGGCGCGAGGTGGCTAGGGATCGAACGAAGAGGCATGAGCCATAAGCTCTGATACCATGTGAGAAACTGAATTGATGATTGTATTAGGAAAGGAGTGGGTATACATAGGTGAGGAGTAGGAGGGGGGGTTTGGTTGGGAGGTGACCACGATTATTGGTGACCCCAATAAGTTGAGTTGGCCAACTTATTGGGGGTCCAATAATCCTAGCCAAGATTATTGGTGGGTCCAATAATCTTGGTTGGGATTATTGGGGGTTCCAATAATTGGGAGCCCAACCAATTTGGGAACCGAACAAGGTTGGGAGCCCAACTAATTTGGGAACCCAACAAGGTTGGGAGCCCAACCCCCAACTTGGGTGTATACACCCTAGCGGGGTGCTTATAAAGTACCTAAGACAATGAAACGATGTAGGCTAATAGAATGAAGGGAGGATATTCTAACAGAGGAGGCATGCCGGAAGAAGAGGAGGCACGCCGGAAGATGAGGAGGCATGCCGGAAGAAGAGGAGGCATGCCGGAAGAAGAGGAGGCATGCCGGAAGAAGAGGAGGCACGCCGGAAGAGGAGGAGGCATGCGGGAAGAGGAGGAGGCATGGAAGGGGAAAAATAGGGCAGCAGGAACGAGAGAGGATGGTGGAGGGGGGAGAAGAGGCGAACTAGTGTGGATGGGCGCTAAGGTGGGGCACTGAACTGAAGAGAGTGTGGTTAGAGTGGTCATGGTGACATGTGTGGTGACATGTGTGGTGACATGGGTGGTGACATGTGTGGTGACATGGGTGGTGACATGTGTGGTGACATGTGTGGTGACATGTGTGGTGATATGTGTGGTGACATGTGTGGTGACATGTGTGGTGACATGTGTGGTGATATATGTGGTGACATGTGTGGTGACATGTGTGGTGACATGTGTGGTGACATGTGTGGTGACTTGTGTGGTGACTTGTGTGGTGACATGAGTGGTGAAATGGGTGGTGACATGTGTGGTGACATCGGTGGTGACATGTGTGGTGACATGTGTGGTGACATGTGTGGTGGTGACATGTGTCGGGACATGTGTGGTGACATGTGTGGTGACTTGTGTGGTGACATGTGTGGTGACATGTGAGGTGACATGTGTGGTGACTTGTGTGGTGACTTGTGTGGTGACATGTGTGGTGACATGTGTGGTGACATGCGTGGTGACACGTGTGGTGACATGTGTGGTGACATGTGTGGTGACATGTGTGGTGACTTGTGTGGTGACATGTGAGGTGACATGTGTGGTGACATGTGAGGTGACATGTGTGGTGACATGTGTGGTGCCATGTGTGGTGGTGACATGTGTGGTGGGATGTGAGAGAAAAGCAACGAAAGCGGTAACCGGGTGTGAGAGATATTGGGGTGTAAGGGAGAAGGGGGGTGGGTGAGGTGAGAAGGAATGGGAGGGTGAGAGACTGTGTGAAGAGGGGAGTGTGAGGGGAGGTACCGAAGACGGGGTGGGAGAGGAGGTGCAGCGAGACGAAGCCGGGCGGCGTGAACTCGGGCTGCCCCACGTCGGTGTCCAGGAAGGCCACACAGGGGTGCCTGGCGAGGCGAGGGGGCGAATGGACGACCAGGTGGGGAGCTTGAGGGGCATTCCCACGCATGCCTTCAAGCAGCAGACACTCAATGTTACCTGGAACCATACCTGGTTCTGGCACATGCAGGGCAAGGAGGAGGGAGAAGTGGAAAGGTGATGCAGATACCTGCCCAGACCATACCTACCCAGCATGTGCTTGACTGCCCATAGCATGTGCTTGACTGCCCATAGCATGTGCTTGACTGCCCATAGCATGTGCTTGACTACCCATAGCATGTGCTTGACTGCCCATAGCATGTGCTTGACTGCCCATAGCATGTGCTTGACTGCCCATAGCATGTGAGAGACTCTTTAGAATTCTAAAAAATCTCACAAGCGGAGAGGGCAAGGCGCATACCTGCCCAGCATGTGGTTGACGAGGAACTTGGCGAATGTTGACTTGCCCACGTTCACGCCCCCCACCACCATCACAATCGGCACGCACACCTCCCCCCGTGCGCGCCTCTTGATCCTCCGCCGCCCGCCCACCACGGTGCGCGCCACCTCCTCCCACTCGCGGCTCACCACGTCGCACCGCACCGCCTCGCACCCCCGCATCTCCAGCCCTGTCAGCACCCGCCCCTCCTGCCTCTGCGCCCCTGCCGCCTGGTGCCCTCCCCCTCCGCCTCCCTCACCGCCCCCATCTCCTCCCCCCTCTCCTCCCCCACCTGCCCCTGCGCCTCCCCTTTTCTTCCCCTTGGGCGGCGTCCACGAGAACCCCTCCCACGCCCCCCGATCCCCCTCATACCGCTTTCCCCCCTTCCTCCCCCTGCCTCTCCCCGCTCCCTGCCCCTGCTCCACCCATCCCTGCCCCTGCCCTCTAGGTGCTACCCGCCCCACGTGCAGCCCGCACAGGAACACGCCTTGCAGCGCCTTCTTCAGCCGCCCCGCCTCCCTCAACCGCGCCAGTGGCGTGCTGGGCTCCTGGGGTCGGGTGGGGAGGGAGAGGGGGGGAGGGGGACAAAGAGCATTGTCAGGCGATCACAAGGTGTGAGGGAGTCAGAAGACGGTATGGTGGTGACAGACCAAGGTGGTGACAGACCAAGGTGGTGCCAGACCAAGGTGGTGCCAGACCAACGTGGTGCCAGACCAAGGTGGTACCAGACCAAGGTGGTGACAGACCAAGGTGGTGCCAGACCAAGGTGGTGCCAGACCAAGGTGGTGCCAGACCAAGGTGGTGCCAGACCAAGGTGGTGACAGACCAAGGTGGTGCCAGACCAAGGTGGTGCCAGACCAAGGTGGTGCCAGACCAAGGTGGTGCCAGACCAAGGTGGTGCCAGACCAAGGTGGTGCCAGACCAAGGTGGTGCCAGACCAAGGTGGTGCCAGACCAAGGTGGTGCCAGACCAAGGTGGTGCCAGACCAAGGTGGTGCCAGACCAAGGTGGTGCCAGACCAAGGTGGTGCCAGACCAAGGTGGTGCCAGACCAAGGTGGTGCCAGACCAAGGTGGTGCCAGACCAAGGTGGTGCCAGACCAAGGTGGTGCCAGACCAAGGTGGTGCCAGACTAAGGTGGTGACATGCCAGGAGGCCACCCACTCACCAGGACCCCACCCGCTCACCAGGAGGCGGAATGTGAAGTTGGCAGTGAGTCGCGCGTCCTTGGCTGCCTCTGTCCCTGCCATCACATCCGCCCCTCCCTCCGCCTTCGCCCCTTTCTTCCCTTCCCCCCCTGCCCTCCCATTCTTCCCCTGCCCCATGGCGCCCACCCCCAGCTGCCCCGGCCCCCACGACTGGAACACCACCACGGCCATGCCCTGCACGTCGGTGCGCCACCCCCTCTCCGCCTTGCCGCGTCGCCTCCTCTCCGCCTCCGCCTCCGCTGCTGCCTTCGCCGCTTCCTTTTTCTGCCGCTTTGTCAGGGGCACACGCTTCGCCCCTGCTGCCCCTGCTGCCCCTGCTGCCCCTGCTGCCCCTGCTGCCCCTGCTGCCCCTGCTGTCCCTCCTTCCCGGCCCTTCCCTGCTTGCGGCCCGTCTGTCGCCTCATTCCCACTCGCCCTGCCCACTGCACCCCCTGCAGCTGTTGGAGTATCAGCAGCAGCAGCAGCAGCAGCCGGGGCGGCAGGGGGGGTGGCAGAAGGGGCGACAGGAGAGGAGGAAGAAGGGGCGGCAGGAGGGGCGGGGGAAGGCGGGTTGGGTGGCAGGGCGACGTGGAGCAGCACAGCGGAGGAAAGGGTGGCGTCGGCGGAGAGGGGCGTGGGGCGGAGGAGGGGCAGGGCGTAGCCGTGCACGAGGGCCGCGCCGTGCAGCAGTGTGACGTGCGCGTGGCCCTCCACCACCACTGCCTCGTCGGGGAACAGAATGGCCGTGGCAGAGCGAAGGGTCCTGTGTGAGGGGGGGGTGGGGGGGGGGAGGGAGGAAGAGGTGTGATGGGAAGTGAGTGGATAAAGCAGCTGGAAGTAGATGAACGAATGGCGTTCGATGCAGCTGTAACAAAAGGAAGAGAAGGCACGCGGAAAGCACCATATGGAGGACTGGCATGACTTGCGTGCTCGCAGCACTACCACCACAATTGACCTGTCCTCCCCATCTTCTCAACTGACTCATTCACCCCACCGCCAGCAGCAGCACTCACGGGTTGACTTGGATCCTGGCTTGCAGCGGCAGTCTCTCCGCGCCCTTGCCCCCGCCCTCGCCCACCACCACACGTTCCAAGCTGCTGTCCGTCACGCCGTGCGCCATGGCATGCACGCGAGTCACCACCTCCCATAGTGGCCCGTCCCCACTCGCCCCTCCTCCCTCCCCAAACCCAGCCTCCCCGTGCCCTTCTGCTCGCGCCTCCCTTTGCCCCGCCCTCTCCCCCTGTCCCTCCGCTCCATTCTGCTTCTCCCCCACACCCTGCCCCTTCTTCTTGCCCCCCTCCCCCCCACCCCCAGCGGCCAGCTTCCCAAACAGTCGGTGCAGCACGCCTTGCATGCTCTGCACGCGCCGCTCCCTCTTTGCCCCGCGCCTCTCCTCCGCTTCCTCCTGCTGCCGCTCCGCCCGCCGCCGCTTCGCCCGCTTCTGCTCCTCCTCAAACCGCTCCCGCTCCGCCTTCCTCCGCCGCTCCTCCTGCCGCCGCTCCCGCGCCTTCAGCCCCCCCGCCTTCGCCTTCCCCAGTTGCGCCTCGCGCTCCCGCTGCTCTGCCTTGCGCGCTCGCTTCGCCGCCTTTCCCGCATTCATCACCGTCCGCGTGCCCTCACCTCCCTCCCCCTCCTCGTCCTCCACCACATGCCGGAACCACTCGTCGCCCGCCAGCCCAGCCCCACCAAGCGCCGCCCCTTCCGCCTCTGCTGGCCCCTTAGCTCCCTCGCCACCACTCCTCTCCTCTCCCTCCTCAGTTTCCTCCCCATCCTCACTCTCCTCACGGCCACTCCCCTCACTCTCACTGCCTTCACTATCACTCTCCCCACTATCACTTTCCCCACTCGCACTCTCCCCACTATCACTCCCCCCACTCGCACTCTCCCTCCCCCCCATGACAGCGTCACTGTCCTCCGACCGCTCCTCCCCGCCATCCGACCCCGTGTCCGCCCGAGACGACCCACTGCCGCCGGCCTCGCCCTCCTCCCCGCTCTCGTCACTCACCACCACCACCACCATCCTCCCTCCCTCCTCTTCCTCCTCCGTCTCCTGCCCCGCGCCCCCGTTCCCCTCCCGTCCTTGCCGCTCCTCACCCGCCTCCGCTTCCCTTCCACCCATCGCCCCCCTCTCTCCCCCCCCCACCTCCTCCTCCCTCCTAACCTCCATCCCTTCCCTCTCACCCTCCTCGCTCCCCGCCGCCACACCTGCCCCCCTCCCCTCTTCTAACCCTTTCCCTCTGCCCCCCGCCTTCCCCATTAGCGCTTCCGCCTCCCGCCCTGTCCCCGCACCGCCCACTCCCGTGCTCCCAAGCGCGCCCCTCCCCCCACCACTCCCTCCTCGGGCGCCCTTCCCCAGACCTCCGCGCGCGCCCGCTGCGCTGCCCGCACGCCCTCCGCCGGTTTTCCGCGCTGCCCCCGTCATCTGTGCCATCCCCCCCTGCCGCTTCTTCCCTATACCCCCCCTCGCGCCCTCCGCGCGCACCTTGTTGCCACCCCGCGCCCCGGCGGTCTTGCCCGTTTTGCTCTTCCCCATTCCCCCCGCGCTGATTCCCCCAGCGCCGGTCGCTCCTGCCCGAACAGCGCGGCGTCCGCCCTTCCCCGTGCTCCCCGCATTTCCCGTTTGCGGAGACTTCTCCGCCGCCTTCCTCTTCCGCGCCAGCGCGGCGATCAACCGGCGGGAGGCAACGAGATCGAGAGAAGCCAAGTTAAGTCGCGCGAGGCGGGTTCGAAGGCCGGCCGCGGCGCCAATTCTCGTTCTGCTCTGCTGCGAACCAGCCGCGCCAAGCCAGATAGCTTGCTTCCAGCCAGGTACCAACTGGAGTGGTGGTGGCTAGTGAAATTTGTGGCTTCTGGGGAAGAGGTTTGGGGTTTGGTGGAAAATAGAATGTGCGGTTCGTTATTACTCGGATTCATTTTTCTACACTGTGAGGGCTCTGATTTCGGGCATGTGCTGCACTCATATCCGAACAAGAAAGTGAAGTGATTGAAAGCCCAAGTACACAATGGTAAAGGTTCAAGTTGAAGATTCTTGAACGTGAATCGCCAGAGAACACACTGGTTAGACGACGTCGTAATGCGGTGCCAATCGGTTTGCTACGTGTGGTCGAATTTCTGTACATTTGGACGAAGTGACATCATGAGACGTGGTGAAATGACATCGACGTCGTAAAAATAGCGACGTGGGCTAGTCAGCTTTAATCCCGTAGTATAGGGTACACAGGCTGCTGAACTAGTTCATCCGACGGTGCTAGACGAGCACTCAGGTTTAGTCGACGACACGAGTAACACGCGACTGGCGCGAAAGTGCAGCCGACTCTGGTGACGCAGCGCGAGTGGCTCTGTAAACGCCGTACCAGTCGGAGGAGAACAAAAAATCCGCGCAGCGTCGAGGGGGGCTACGCCAAGGGAGGGGTGGCGAAGCGCGCCGAGAGTAGCCCTGTCCGCATCGACGGCAGAGCGGCGCGCAGTACGCGGGCAGTCGAGCGCGAGAGCGGTAAAGGGCCGAGGAGAGCACTCGCGGGAGGGGGAGGCGGGTCGGGAGGGGGGCTAGTAGCGGACGCGAGGGCGTGAAGCCACCGCGGGGAGCGAGTCTGGCGGGTAGGCCATTGTGCGGCCCCCACTGTGCGCCCCCCGCTGTGCGCCCCCCGCTGTGCGGCCCCCACTGTGCTCCCCCCGCTGTGCGGCCCCCGCTGTGTCCCCACCCCTGTCGCTCCCCATCTGCCTCTCCCCCTCTGTCTCGCTCCCCATCCGTTTGACTCCCTCTGCCGCCCCTCTCCTCCCCATCCCCCCTTCACTTTCCTCCGCTCAGCGTGCTCCCCGCCGCATGCCCGCCACCATTTGAAATGGACGGAGCAGCAGCACCAGCAGCAGCAGCAGCAGCGTCGTCCGCCTTCTCCCTGCCGCACTTCTACAACTACCCGCCGTATTTCACGTGCGTCGATGCCCCTCCCTGCTGCCTTCTCCGTTTCCTGCCTCCATTACCTTCTGCTTGCCCCTCGCTCCGTCCTATCCCATCACCGTCCCATCCCGCCCGTCCCATCCCGCCCGTCCCATCCCGCCCGTCCCATCCCGCCCGTCCCATCCCGCCCGACCCATCCCATCCACCCCATCCCTCCCGACCCATCCCTCCCGACCCATCCACCCCATCCCTCCCGACCCATCCACCCCATCCCTCCCGACCCATCCACCCCATCCCTCCCGCATCCCATCATTCCTCTCACCCGCATCCCATCATTCCTCTCACCCGCATCCCATCATTCCTCTCACCCGCATCCCATCATTCCTCTCACCCGCATCCCATCATTCCTCTCACCCGCATCCCATCATTCCTCTCACCCGCATCCCATCATTCCTCTCACCCGCATCCCATCATTCCTCTCACCCGCATCCCATCATTCCTCTCACCCGCATCCCATCATTCCTCTCACCCGCATCCCATCATTCCTCGAACAGCTCCACAGCTTTGAGCCATACTATTTACGCCCCTCTGCTTCTGCCTTTCTTCTCTCCTCCCCTCTCTTGCACCAATTCTCGTCCCGCCCGTCCCTCTCCCGGCCTGCCTGTGAGTGCGGCAGGCTGCAGCCGGTGCGGGCGACGCGGGAGCGGCAGGTGCGGCTGTGGGCGGACCTCATCGTGGCGTACTGCCGCCAGCACCGCATGTGGGTGGTCAGCACCGACGACTTCCCGCTCTTCCACAACGTCGCCATTGAACGTGAGGCGCAGGGGGGCTGGGGGTTGGGGGGGGAAAGAGGGGGGAAACGGGGGCTAAGAGGGGGCATTGCACATGCGTGCTGGTGTGGTGGGGGATGCTGACAGGGACGTTTCAAGTGCTTCAGAAGCCGGCAGCATTGCGCGTGGGTGGTGAGCGCGCATGGCTGCCCGCTCTTCCACAGCAGGGCCATCCACCGTGAGGTGACGTCACCCCACTGCCATCCACCGTGAGGTGACGTCACCGCACTGCCATCCACCGTGAGGTGACGTCACCCCACTGCCCTCTTCTCGTGAAGCTTTATTCAACCCTTGAGGCCCGCCTTTTTCCTTTGGGGCCTGACAGAGCAACAATGCCGAAAAAAGGCTACCACCACTCATTTTTACAAGAACTCCCGACGGCAACCAGTTTTCAGACCATTTGAGTCCAAGTTTCTTACAGCAGATCGCCAACATCTCTGTCCCGCATGCTGCTCAACTCCCCCCCGCACCTCCCCTTTGGCCCCCATTCATCCTGTTTTCTTGCCAGCAGTGGCTCTGCTCGTTGCATTGCGTGTCGCAGCCCCTTTTTCTGCCCGTCAACGCCCCTGTATCTCACCACCCCCTCTCCCCTTGTCCCGCTGCCCCCCTGTCCGCTCGTCCCCTTGTCCTCCTATCCCCCTGTCCGCTCGTCCCCTTGTCCTCCTATCCCCCTGTCCGCTCGTCCCCTTGTCCTCCTATCCCCCTGTCCGCTCGTCCCCTTGTCCTCCTATCCCCCTGTCCGCTCGTCCCCTTGTCCTCCTATCCCCCTGTCTGCCTGGCTGCCTGTCCGCCCGTGGAATCACGTGTGGCAGGCAAGCTGACCTTTGAGGCGCGGCAGCTCTTTCTCGACACGCTTGTGGCAGAAGGCACGTGCAACCCCCCTCTCTTACTCCCCCCCTCACTCTCTCATGATTTTTCCAACGCTTGCATGCTCATGACGGCAACATGCTCATGTGGGCAGCATGCTCATGACGG